TTCAAAAGACCATTTCAACACTTGTCCAACACACCTCCAATCCTGTTTCGTCAACCTCCCTATCTCATTTAATCTTTAAAACCTCTCTCTCCTTCTGGAAACAACCAAACAACTCTCTCCCGCATTAAACCAAATCTTAGTCCTTTTCCATAAACCTCCTTAATCTTAAGGTTTCAGAGTAACAGCCGTGTTAGTCTGTATTCGCAAAAAGAAAAGGAGTACTTGTGGCACCTTAGAGACTAACCAATTTATTTGAGCACAAGCTTTCGTGAGCTACAGCTCACTTCATCGGCTGCACACCCAGGATATATGTATCGTATTCAAATTAGTAATAGACCCTTATTCTGGATTCTCATAATCAGCCATTTATGTGTCACTTTCAAATGCACAGTTGATCTTCCATTGTAGATGTTTACATTCAGGTATTATTTTAAAAATCCTCCAAAATACGTTAAATGCAGCAGGATCAGAAATAAAGAGCTGTTAGAAGCAGCTGTCACATATATCTGATACATGAAAGGCTCTGGGTGTGATTTAAAAAAGAAATGCTGTGTATGTCAGCACAGGTTCAACTGGTCCACAAGGTCAAGTTACGGAGGCCAGTGATGCAGGTGAAGGCTGGCTGAAGCATGAGGGGTTCAGACATAGGTGACAGGAAAGGAGGGAGAAGGGTGAAAGGTCTAAGACACAATGAAAGTAACTTTCCCAATATGAACCAGCCTCCAAAAGATGCCATAGCAAACCTCCAAATTTTACTACCCTCCCAGCTTCCAAAACCATCCTGTACACTCATTACAAGCAATGCGATCTTTACAACTTCCACATTCTCATGTACCACACTAACAGATAAGAGTCATCAATCTGCCTTCCCCCATCATAGCCAATCTCCATCTGAAGCAGTTCACCTACTATATAAGGGCCAATATTGGTCAGTCCTGCTTTAGAACTGTTCTCTTTGGCCAAAAGTGAGGCTAGCTAAAACCGGATTAACCACAAGGGCAAAATAAATAGGTAGGTATCCTTTTAACCAAAACCAGTGTCAGTGGCTTTCAGCAATCTGAATGCTAATAAACAAATTTGTAAGAAGTGATATTTTATAGAGTGTATTTTTCCATCATTAAATTGATTACACAAAATGTATTTAAGTACACTTATTTTAATTAAAAAGCATGTATAATGCTAAAATAGAATTTTCTCAGCTAGTGAGAGCACAGGGATAACTATGATTATATCTCTTTGTGCTCTGACTGGCTACTCTCATCAGAACCAAATCCCCACAATGAGCTATGCCCGCTCAACTCTGACCCCTCCCTGTCACTCTAACCCAAACTGTGAGGTAGAATTTAATTAAAAAGGAATTACTCTTAGTGAGGACTGAATGGAGTATTCTGATGGCAACAGCTGAGCTCAGAGATTTATAATAGCTAGATGGAGTGCACTGATGAGGAAAGATCACTTTTTTGTATAATAACTGGAAGTTTCATCATGTTAATTCAGCTAAAGAGGTTTGGTTTTGGTTTTTAAGCCCAGAATGTGGTTACTTACTCAATAAGTAGTAATACTTAAATATTATTTAAACACTTATAGAGCACAAAAAATATGCTCTATGTTAAGAGAGCTAAACACTCTTGACTCTTTGCAAGTATACTACTGCAGCAAAATATTACTTCCTTCTAAGGCTCATGGAGGTTATTCTCTTCAGTAATCTAATGAAAGCATTAGCTCTTCAGTGCATGAGTTGCACATAACTTGCAAATATTGGTATGTTTAGTTTAATTAAGAGCTTCTTTAAAATATATTATTTCCTTAAAAATTAATACACAATTTTGGTATGAATCTCTTAGTTAAAATCCCAAATACATAGCAGAAGTCTATCTATGATTTTATACCACACTCATCACTTACAGCCAAGCACCTTCTGAGTCTTGTATTTCTGTTTTAACATTTGTACTGTGCCCTCATTCTCTCCGGACATAATTCCTTACACAGCTTCATTGGCTTGGTTGAGTGCACAGGCTGAGGTTGCTTCCTACTTTTTTCTTAACATAAATGACAATGTTAATGGTAATTTTTATATCTGGTCTCCCCTTCCACCCTGACCCACCTCTTTACTGTGTGTCTAGATAAAATTTACCTAAAGATATATAACTACAGAGCAAATTTACTTCCACTGAAGTGGGCCATATGGCACTTTGACTTAGCCAGCAGGAAAAGCAATCATTTTATGATCAGCATACCCACTATCCACCACACAGAAAGGAAGAACTCTATTTTTGAGATGCACTCAGGACATGTGATTATGTATCTGGGGAAACAGATGTTATCCAAAAGAAACCTTCAGCCAGATATTCTGCACAGCTATATTCGTATTTGCATTTGTCCATTTGACTTCCTAGCAAAAGGTGACAGAGAACAACGCTGGTTGCTGAAGTAGCAATAAAAAAATACGATATACATTTTAAAAATTGTCAACCAATGACTCTGTTTCCCTTAGCTATCACTTTTACTTAAGTATTTCTTATTCATTCAGGGCTGAATCCTGCTTAACTTAAACATGAGTATAGACCCTACTGAAACAAACTGGTCCATTACTGTCAATAAAACAAGCATAATTTGTTCCTTAAGAACAACAAATGTATATCAGCAGACAGCTGAGAGAAGGCGGGATATGTGAAGGAATAATTAAAACTTTATTACACAGTACAGACCAAAATTAAACTGTTGTATATATCAAGGGTAAATACTGCGTTAACTGATGCCAAACAAAAACAATCATTTTTATTGGCAGAGAAGGGCTTACAAATTGAAAAGACATTTTCCATCTATTTTACAGCTTTCAGTTTACAGATTAGGAGATATCTGCAAAATTACCATTCTTGAAAGGAATGAGAAAATGTGAATACAGTACTATTTTCTTTCCAGAGGAACTTTTAATCATAAGAAAAAATGGGAGATTTAATAATGTTAAAGCAAATATCAGTGGGGATAAAAGACAGCATGCTCAAGAGAAAGATTTCATTCACTATATTTAGCCTTTTATTAGATCATACTTTATTCATGCTAGGATTTAAAGCAATTACTTTCTGAAGAATATTTGGACTTATTTGAAAATATTTATGAAACCTGAAACCCAGCAGCTGCAGAGCTTTACGCAACATAATTTAACTGAAATGTAGATTTGAAGATAAAATGGCATTTACAGCACGCTGTAGATTTTTGGACATTAAAAAAAAAAAATTCCTGAAAATCCCACAATTTGTTTACTTGTAATCAGGTGTTTCTAGATGTCAGACCTTGTATCTTACAATTGTTAGCAAAAACTACTTTGCCTAAATTTAGAGCCTGATCTAAAGCCCACTGAAGTCAATGGAAAGCCTCCCAATGTATTCAGTGGGCTTTGGATCTGACCAGCAAAAATAAACGGTTAAAAAATTGACTTTAATAGATCAGTGAAAAAGCAAAGACAATGCAGTCTGTATCACAAAGATTTCCATTTGCCATGTGATGTATAATGAAGATATGATACAAGACACAATATTTACAAAAAGCTTTATGGATTTTAAGTTGTCTATAAATATAACTGAAATGGTATATTTTAAAATAAATGTATATGAAACAATGGGTCTTAAATGAGTACATTTTGAATCTGGATCTACTAGATCTCAAGATTGACAGATATGAGTCTGAACTGTTGGTTTATTCTGCTGAGTCAATAACATTTGTGGTCAGACTGTTCATTTAACATATGTATCAGTGAAATACTTTGATGTATCACCAAGTGATTTTTGTAAGCATTCATTACAAGTATCTGTTGGAATTATTAGAAAACAGCTGTGTGTATTTACAATAGTTCTTTATACACTTTACATATGTACAAGGGGACTTTTAAAGGGAATTTTAAAAAGGCATTTGATATGATTTCCACACTATAAATGTGAGATAATGGTATCTTGAAAGGAATAAGGAGGCTTTTTGCATTCAAGAAGGTCACACGCAGTGATTAATACCAATCAATTTTACGCTTAACTGCTAACTGTACACAAGCATATTATTATATTATTATTCGATAGCTATGAAATACAAAGTTGCTCAAAGAGGGAGATTGAGAATATACAGCCTTCTCCCCAACATGGTAATCTCTCACTTGCAAATATTCTGAGGTGTAGCTGTGACATAATTAGATTCAAATGAAAATTATATCAGTAAATTTTAGGATGAAAGGGACCTCAAGTCAGTGCAATCAATCATGGTCTTAAAATTGTATTTATAAACTTAAGGATTTTTTTAAAATTATGTTTCTACAGTATTCTGAATGACAGTTTTTCCAGTAACAGATTAAAGTGTAATCTACAAACAGAACTTGCACTGATATACCTAAAGTCTGTTTTGAAATAGATTTAAACTAGCACAAACCTGGATCCACTTAAATTATTAATTATTTGTATTATCATATCTCCTAGGAGACCTAGTTATGGCCAGGACTCCACTGTTAGGCACTGTACAAACAGCAAACTTGACCTACAACTGATTTCTACATTATAATTTAAAACAATCCCTTATCAAATTAAACCATATTGATATAAGCTAGTTGGTAAACAGATTTAAGTCATTCCATGAAAAGTTTTGTACCTGTTTACAGGAATTTTAAAACTGATTTTAGTTAAACTAGTGCAAGATTTGTGTGTAGACAAAATCTAGGAGAAGGTGTGCTTATATTTACACTTTAGTAACACTATGTAAATATGCAAACTATAACATTTTGGAAAACAAAATTATAATTCAGGGGATATTTCTGAATTTTGAATAATCTGAGTTACAGATAATCTGAGTTTATCTGTACGTCATAAATCAGGTCAGCATTTCAAAGTATGCAATATTTAAGTTATTTAAATGCATTTCTTATGTTAAAATAGTAAAATAATTTTCAGAATATTTTAATATTGCTGCTTTATACAAATAAACTCAATGCTTCCCATTCCCTCCTGTGTATTTTTTCTTACCTGTCATTTTGCAGGAGGTATCAAGTAAGGCCAGTGTTCTAATATCCTCTTCCAAATAATGACAGCAGATTTGAAAAGTCTTTGTAGGGCTACAACTTCTTAAACCATGACATGAATGTTCTGGGGGAAGGGCAAGGAAGGGCTATGTTGCATGTCTTTGTAAAGATCAACAATTTCAAGAAGTTTTATTCAAAGAACCCCCATCTTTTAAATCCTTAATTTAAAATTAAAATATCTATAGAGATACTGAGAATACATACATATAGGCATGAAAAGGAGAACAGGCAAAAGGAAGCAAATTTAGCAGCAGGTGTATAATTTATACCAATTCACACAGGTCAAAAAATTAGACCAAATTTTATTTTACGTATCTCAGTTGACCTATATTTTGAAATGAATTATTTTTATTGCAGTGAAGTCCTATACTCCCTACACTGCTTCACTAGCATATGCAGTCTCTTCCATTTCATAAGAATTTATTTCTTTATCATGATATAAGCACACACTAACTATTTAAAGCTTCTACTATACTTGAAAGAAAAAAAATTCTAAATTTGATCTGAAACAAGGAACTAAGCCAGTATTTCAAGATAGCCACAAAAAATACACAAGCTTCTTTAATAAATGGTAGCATACGCCACAAATGCTTTACCTCTTATAGGTCTATCTAGATGTGACTTACCCGACAGCTTATAAAAAAAACAAACAGAAAAAATTAAATATAGATGTTTCAAATAAATAGTCAACATACATATTTTGTTGGGATGGAGGCATATATGTGTTTGCACTAAGACTTCCCGGGGACAAAAATTGCACTAGTACAAAATCTGGGACAACTGATATTCAGCCTTGGACCCTCATCTAAACAGCACTACTAAAAGCAAGGAACAAGTGATAAAGTTAAGTCTGGATATCTTGTGAAATATTAGGGCTAGAATTTAATGCCCCATGTAACATTACAAAGAAGAGGCTGGTTCTCAGATTTACTATTATGCCACATCCATTTACAGCCTGGCAAGTTGTGAGCTATCAGAGTAACATCACAACAGTTTCTCATCTTGCTTTTTTTCCTATACCAATTCTGATAGAATTGCCACTATCTTTAGAACCAGAAATCAATGTTCACACTATTTTAGAAATATTTTTAAAATAGGTGTAAACTGTTAACTATAAATTAGGAATAACTTTTGAAATCCATTTTTAAAAATCTGACCCTTAGTTTTTAGTTTCTGGAGTTTGAGACAATCACTAATATCAAGTCCTAACTGAGGACTGAAAAGCACACCGATAGCAATAAAGTGAGTTTAAGTTCTGATAATAATAGAAAAGCAGTAATATTAGTAACATTATTATGCATCTCAATGCATTTTACAGACATGAATTAAGACATGTTTGATGACTTTCTAAATATACACTCTAGTTCAAGCACAAATTACTGGGCTTGATGAAATTCTAGAACCATAATGGCCCATTCTCACCTTAAAAGCTATCAGTCTATGAAAAAAGGCTCAACACAGAGAAGTGGTAAGTTTTATCCCCATTTTACAGCTGGCAAAAGCTGAAGCAAAAGGACTGATTTTCCCAAGATTAACCAGCAAGTCAGTGGTAGAACTGGGAACAGAAGTCTCTTGACTCCCAGTCTAATGCCATTCACCACAAAATCATCCTTCAACCAACAGCAACTTACCATGCCTAAATTTGCCTTGGCAGACCAAGTCAAGTGCTTTCATGGCAAAACAACGTTCCCCAGCACTAGCCCTTGATTTATGGTCTGAAAGAGGCAAAAATACACGGTTTCCCCTCTTCCCACCCAAGTGCAGATCAGCTGATACCAGTTTAAAGATTAAACTATTATTTGTAAAACTGTTACCCAGACTGAAATATTTCAAGCAAAAAGTACAGAACTGTTGTAAGCATTATTTGGTACTGTATATAGCATTCAACAAAATTTCACTTTCAAAATATAAGAAGTTCTTAATATAACGCTCAAGTATTAGTGTGTCAAATCAATTATATAGCTCACACCTGTACCAGCCACATAGCAGAGGAAGGAGGGAGAGGTTACTCATCTTGAGCAGTAACTGGAGTTCTTTGAGATATGTCCCCTTGTTGGTGCTCCACTTCAGGTTCACTTGTGCCTTGCACCTTTGATCAGAGATTTCTGGTAGCAATGCCCGTTCAGCCTGCATGGGTACCCCACAAATCCTTGTGCCCTGTGCCAAGATTCTATGGGGCTGCACAGGTAAGCCACCTTCAGTTCCTTCTCCACCACCAAGACCCATAACAGAGACTCCAAAACAGAGGGGAAGGAGGGCGGATAGTGTAGCACCAAACACCTCAAACTCCAGCTATTGTGCAAGGTGAGAAAGCGTCCAAGATTTTTACCTAAGGTGTCCTCAGAATTTCTCCTTCATCAAGTAGTGTCTCTGGGGGTTCTCCACTTCAGGTGACTTGTGAGCAGTACCCCCATTAAAGGAGGTGGCAGGTTTGGAGCAGAGTCCACACGAAGAGAGAACTATATTGCCTACAGCAGCATCTGATCTTGCTGCAGGTACCAAAGCATAATGATTAAGCAAAATATGATCAGATGACCAAGTTGCCACCCTACAGATGTCTGCAATTGGTACATCCTTAAGTAAGGCTATAGATGTAGATAGTGCTTTTGTGGAACGTGCTACCACTCTCGAAGGGCATTGAACATGAGTTCTGTCATAACAAATCTTAATACAACCGGAGATCAATTTTGATAACCTGTTTTGAAGTTACTGAATCCTTGTTTTTGTCTGAAATGGATATAAATAGTCTAAGGGATCTTCTAAATGGTTTAGTCCTAACTATGTAGAAGGCTAACGCCCTCATGACATCTAGGCTATCAAATATGGTTTCCTGAGTAGTCCAGTGTGGTTTTGGGGGGAAAATCTGGGAGAGGAATGGTTTGATTAATATAAAATTCGGAGAACACTATAGGTAAAAAAAACTTGGAAGTGCCTGGTACTGACACTTTCTCTCTGGTGAATACTGTAAAATGTTGTGTCTGCCATTAAGGTCCCCAGTTTTCTCACCCTTCAGGCAGAAGTTATTACTATCAGGAAGATTGTCTTTGTTGATCAATTTACCAAAGAAGATGTAGTCAGTGGCTCAAAAGGGTGTTTCATAAGGCAAGTAAGTACTGGGTTCAAGTCCCAGCTTGGAGTAGGGGAGATATTCAATAAACCCCTTAGAGATCTTGCCATAGCTGGGTAAGTGAAGAGTGAAAAAACCCCTATGGATATGTGAAAAGTTGTTATGGAATTTAGAGAAAGACCCAATGTTTTCAGTTCCAATAGGGAATTCAATACCCTGGGAAGAGGACAGCGAGTTGGCAACATCTGGTGAATGTTACACCAAAGATAATATTGTTTCCATTTTCTAAAGTTATTTCTTGTAGATTCTTTTCTACTATTTAATAAAACATGTTGTACCTCTGACAAACAGGGTATCGCTATTACTGAGAACCACTGGGGAACCATGCTTGTAGCCTCAAAATCTGCAGGTTGGGGTGAAGTGATGGACTGGCATTGTGGGTCAGTAGATAAGGACTGACCAATAGCCTCCACAAAGGGCAAGAAGTGAATCTGATCAAATAGGGATACCAGATCTGTCTTGGTCACATTGGTGCGATCAGTATGACTCTGGCTAGATCTTGTTGAGAACCTTTAATAATAATGGTATCAGTAGTTATGGACCGAGAAGTCCTTTTGTCCATGAGATGAGGAACATGCCTCCAATGCATTGAGGATCGAGCCCTCTCATGGAGCAATACCTGATGCATTTTCTATTGGCTGCTATGGCAAACAGACTGATCTGCGGGAACCCCCAGGGTAAGACTATCTTGCGGAGGACTCTTCAATTCCCATTCGTAATATAGAAAGAAATGTATGCTGAGGTCATCTGCCATGGTGTTCTGAATACCTGGGAAGTAAGAAGCTGAGATGACGGTGTTGCTGGCTATGCACCAGTTGCAGAGTTCTACTGCTACCGCCCAGACTGCTGGGAAAAGTGCACCTCCTTGACAACTGACATAATACATGAATGCCTGTCTGTCATTATCTTTACTGACTTCAAATTGATTAGTGGTAGAAAGCATAATGAAGCATTTTTGATGGCTCTCAATTCCAAAAGACTGATGTGGAGAAGCTGTTCTTATAATGTCCCTTTCCTTATACCTTATGAGGTCCCGGATGTGCCCACCCAACCCAAAAGTGACGCATCTGATATTATCACTCCAGTAGGGGGAATCTGCAAGAGCGGAACACCTACACAGGTTTTGGTCTGGTCTTTATACCAACTGAGTGATTGCAGAACCCACTGGAGAACAGACAGTAACCTGACTAGACTGTGTTTGCTTGGTTTGCAAACTGAAACTATCCCTGTCAACTTAGGAGGTGTAATCAGGCATGCTGCACTACAGTGACACAAGCTGATGTGTCCCAGCAGTTGAAGACAATCTCTTACTGCTACTTGAGGAATATGCTGAATCTTTGAGATGAGATTCATTAGTGTGAGAAATCTGCTCAATGGTAGATATGCTCTGCCTGTCACTGCATCCAAGAAAGTTCCTATGAAATCTAGACATGGTAGTGGAGTCAAAATGGACTTTTCAAGGTTGATTTCATAGAATCATAGAATATCAGGGTTGGAAGGGACCTCAGGAGGTCATCTAGTCCAACGCCCTGCTGAAAGCAAGACCAATCCCCAATTTTTGCCCCAGTTCCCTAAATGGCCCCCTCAAGGATTGAACTCACAACCCTGGGTTTAGCAGGCCAATGCTCAAACCACTAAGCTATCCCCTCCCCCCCCAAATGTCCTGGCTGTGAAACAGGGAACACATGATCTTTACTGACATCAACACTTCCTGATATGATCCACCCCTGATCAACCAATTGTCTAAGATGGGAGAATGAGTATGCCGTAGGTGAGCAGCAACTACTGCCAGAATCTTTGAAAATATCCTTGGTGCTGAAGATAAACCTAAAGGGAGCACCCTGTATTGGCAGTGTTTGTTATTAGAAAATGAAAAGGGTGAATAGAGACATGACAATATGTTTCTTGTAGGTTGAAAGTTGCAAACCAATCTCCTACTTCTAATGAAGGAATTATTGCTGCCAGAGTCACCGTCCTGAATTTTTGTTGCTTTACATATTGGTCAAGAGACCTGAAGTCTAAAATTGGCTTCCACCCTCTATTCTGTTGATTGGATGGTTGAGACTCTGAACCAAGCCACCAAAACTGTCATTTGGTGGACAAAACATCTGATCTTCATCCCTTGGCTGGGGGTTCAAAGGGTCTAGGGCAGAGGTAGTCAAGCAGGCAGACCACGGACCAAATACAGACCGCCAGATGCGTTTGTATAGACCCCAACATTTTTATTATTTTCTCTGCAGACTGGACTTTGACTATAACTTCACCAAGAAATTTGAACCTTGACAAAAATAACTGAATATTCCTGGTCTACGGTATGTTGAATACAGGGCTTGGTATGCTCCTTGTGCAGTACCAGACCTACTAAATCTTTTATTTACAGGTCTTTAAATCCCTTGTGATCACAGTGTAGCTCTTGAGTCTTTTAAAATGTGGAGAGAGGCATCCATCAAGTCTGCAAAGAGACTGCGACTGTCAAAGGGGAGGTCTATGACAGTACTATGAACCTCTCTCGGAAAGCCCGACAGCTATAGCCAAGATGCTCTTCTCATAACCACTGCAGTGGAGTTAGACTGTGCTGTCTTATGTGCCCCATCCAAGGGGGCCTGGAGTGATGCCAGGAGCTGACCCCCTTGTATAATGGACTTAAATTGCTCTTGATGTTCTTCTGGCAGATGCTCATTAAAGAATATAATTTGTTATAATTTAAATAGCCATATTTGTGCATGAGATTTATTCCTTTCCTCCTCCTGCTTAGAGCCAGATGTAAATAAGGACCATAGATGTACTCTGTGCCACAGTGCTGCCTACCTCTCTACCAGTCTCCAGTGACTCAGACATTGATGTGAACGGGGCACTAGCTATACTGGGAGTTCAATGTATTGGGGGGTGGAGGAGTGGATCCTCCGCTCCTACATCCTGCACAGGACCTAAAGCTTTCTCCATCATTAGGAGCTGATACTTACTTTCTCTATTTTTTAAAATCTATCTTTGAAGAAAGTGCAGATCCTGCACTTATTGGGGATATGAGTATCATCCAGTCAGCAGAGGCACTGAGAATGTCCATCACTTATTGGAATAGCCACACAATAGTAGAGGCATCTCTTGAATGGGAGACCAGCTGTCCCAAGAAAAACTAATGAAAATGTAACCCCTGGAAGGGGAAATCTCCAAACTATATAACTGTCTCTGTGAATAAAACGTTTGGCCTTTTTAAGGAAAAAAATCCCCGAGGGAACAATTGTTCCAACAACTATCACTATAAGGTAACTAAGTGAGAAAAAGCTAAATATTAGAGAACAGGCACACAGTAGACGCCAAAGGGAGCTCTGAAGGAACTGAGGGCAGTTTGCCTACACAGCCCCAAATAGCCTCAGCACCAGGCATGAGAATGTGTGGGGTATAAATGAGCAGGCAGCACAGTCACTACTACCAAAAATTTTCAATCAAAGGCATAGGGCTCAGGTGCACCTGAAGTGGAGCACATACAGGGACACTACTCAAAAAAGCATCAACTATACGTTTAAAATAAACATATATATGAAGCAGCATGTGGAATAGACAGTTAAGTGAGAGCTAATGCTTAATAGCTACCTTTTTCTAACCTTCACTGTATACTGCCATCATGCAAAACGAGGAATGCTCTCCAATCTTATGTTTGATTCTAGTACAATTTAGCATGCATTGCCATCCACCTTGAAAACTTCTCTACTGTGAGGGCACACGGAGTTTTCAATTCAGAAGTTTATCTCAGGCTGAGTCATAAGAGAACTGTTAGAGCAAATGAAATATACAGCCTTGTTTAACTTGATAAGTTGGTTTGTTTGGAAAGTGAATAGAACATAAAGCTGTTATCAAGATTACAGCATGGTTTGTTCTTGTGACATCAGTTTCTCCTTGAGTGGTGCTAAAACAGAAAATCTTTCAATGAGCTTTATGCTTCCTTCACTCTACATTCATATTCCTGCTCACCTTTAACAGGTTTACTCTTAATTACTACTTAAGTCCTATTTCTGCTCTCTCTCTTGTGAAGGCAGTATGAAATCTTGTAACAGCAAATGACCAGAAAAAGCCCTATCACCACCAAGATTTTATATAAACTAAAACTGTAACAAATATAGATGTCAAAACACAATCTAGGATTGTGTTTTGGAGAATGAAAGGCAAGGAGTCTTTTACTCCTAATTCTGACCTCACTTTTTTATTGGAAGACTTGAGAAATGTATCTAGTGAGGAACATTCATCCAATCTGGCTCCATTTCTTTACTTGAATGATGTGTTTTTAAAACTTAAAGAGTTGATAAAACTGGTAATACTAGCTTAATGGCTTTTGCCTTAAAATAATTTATAAGGAATTTTAAACCCATGAGAGTTGCCTGTTGCCACATTCCATTTATCTACATTTTTGTATAATTGGGATGTGGTAATCAGTTCAATTTATATTTCCTATTTAACTGAGTCTATCCCTTACTGAGAATGATGTCACATTACTTGTTACTGGCAGAAACTCGAGTATTATAGGAATGGGAGAAGTAAAAGAGTATACCTTAGTTTTTCCAAACCTATAACTCTGAAGGAGGAATTTTTCTGCCAAAGCAATTTTATAAATGTATTTCTTCTTCTTGTTCTGGAAGTCACCAATCACAGCTTCCACCATGATATCAGTGCTATCGCAGAGGTGGGTAGAATTCCAAGGAGCACTTCTGCTGTGCAGTGTCTGTTTCTATAAAGAAGTGAAGAGTTTTCTAAAATGGCATTAACATTCCACTTTTCTATAGAACATACGTGTCCAGTTTCACATGTTCTGAACTCAGCCCTTTGACTTATAGCATGGTCCCAGGCTGTGTCTTCATCTCTCCCTTATATGTCACGATTCTTTACCCATTTCACTAACATCCATGAAGAAAGTAGTAGCATTAACTTCACAAGATACAAAAGCATCAGAAGCACTGACAATAGTCATACCCTACTAGCTTTGTTACCAATTTGACTCTTATTTGCTAGGTATTTGGTTTACTAATTATAATCCTCATCATTTGCCAAACCAGGAAACCAACATAATTTTTATTAAGTATACAACTTGTGGTTTATGTAATGTTTCAGCACCATGTAATATTAAAATAAAGTACAAATTCATTAGAATTATGAAAAATAAGTTGACTGTCTTTTCAAGTGTTCATGAAATTTCCACCTAGGTGGGTCTGTTTGCTGCCAAAACAAATTTCAGTGAAAAGATGATTTGAGAAATCTCTAGAGTTGCCTCATTTTGCCCTGTAATGAGTAATACCCTTTAACTAACTAGTTTCCCTCTTCATATCTGAAGAACGGCTTAATTAAAGCCTAAAAGAGCCGATCACCATAGCATATGGTACATATATTTATTTATTCTGTGTACATTAAATGCATTTGTACTTATGTAAATAAACATTCTAAAATTTTGAAAAATTTTACACAGATGAAGTTTATGAAGAGATGGATCAGCTTAGTTTGGAGTGGCGTTTGTTTGCTTGCTTTTTTAATTTTTGACTTCCAAATTTTTTAACGGAATGAGGGGGAGATAAAGAAACTGAAAAAATGGTAAGTCAAATCAGATTTCGCAATGGTGTTTTTTTCACATGAATAACCCTAAGCATTCCATGAGGCAGTGAAGAGATATCACCTACTACTTTTAATTACAATTGCCATAATATATTCTGTAGCTCAATTCTTGTGCAAACGTACAACGTTTGGGAGTTCATTAGCATAACTATAGTTCAGAACCCTTATAATGAAGTTGAAGTATTGACTTTTAGGGATTACAGCACACCAAAGCCTCTCACAACCCCTTTTTAACCTCAATTAAAAGGTTAAAATAAAATATACATATACTCACAAGGTATAACACAGATACACACAGAGAATACATAGGTGGGGGTGATATCCTGCAAGACCATATGATAAAACTGTATTTACCATGCACTTTGAACTCCTCTTCTTCAGCTGCCCACTAATCAAATTCTGCCTGGTTTACTATTCCAATCCTCTGAATTATATAATAAACAACTCAGCAATTATATAGGGCTTTTCATCAGTAGATCTCAGAGCACTTTACAGATGAGGTCACAGTATCAGTACCCCATTTTACAGATGGGAAAACTGAGGCATGAAGACAGGAAATGACTTGCCCAAGGTGACTAGCAAGCCAGTCGTTGAGCTGGTAACAAAACCCAGGTCTCCTGAGTCCCATGCTCTAGCCACTAGGACACGTTGCCTTCCTGCATAACAGATACCACTTTTATTTTTGAAGCCAGCTTTCCAAAAAATTCTGTCCTTCCCCCAAAACGTGTAAGTCTCCTTCCCCACCATCCTGTTATACTGATTTAAGGCTCTGATATGTCACAAAAACTTAGTATCATTGGGAAAAGAAAGATAACTTTCAAATGGGATACACCACTTGATTCTGTTGCCTTTGAAAGTCCCCAAAATATCCAATTTTTGAGAGAGATGTTATGAAAAAGCTTTTTAAGTAATATTCAGGTTTCTAAAATGTATTAGTTATAATCCTTCCTTCCTTCCAAGGTCTAGACGCAATTATATATATGAATATATAATTACTCCCAGATGTAAGATCTACATTAAGACCCTGATTCTGCAAACACACATATGCAAAACTTTCCTACTATAGTAAAGTTAAGCATAGTCTAAGTGTTTACAGGATTTGGGTCTAAGATTATGATCACATATCAGTAATTTAAGGGTAAAAGGGTACAAGAGTGCTGTAATCATCCCAAAGCAAGTGTTACAAACCCTGGAAAGTCAGAGTTAAGATTAAACTTTAAAGAAATCCAACATATTAAAGCACACAATTGCACAGTTAAGACACCCAAACAACCTTAGCTCTGCTCCATAATGATGCCATGAGGGAAAAAATATGAAAAATCCTCATCTAGTCTTAGACTAGAAACACTGAATATAACTGAATCACAATATTCAGTAAGTGCAAACATCACTTAAATTCAATTGTTTTCTGACTTCTGACATTACTGTGATTTTTTCCTCATCTCAAAGCATGCTTTTATTACTATAGATGACATTGTACTGCCTGAGATGTTGACATAATTAGTTGCAATTTTACCCAGCTGGTTCATTTTCGGACTTAAGAACGGTCACTGGACCTCTTGATTTCAACTCTCTTCGTACACCAGTTGGTTAACTCTTTTTATAATGAAAAATCCCATTGCAATGTAAAGTGGTATTTCCCAATAAAACAAAATGAAAGAGCCAAGTACTACAGCACATGGCCAGTGGCATCTCATAAACCCCCACAAACTATGAAAGTTTACTATTCCCCCACAAATATATTTTATATAGACTAGTTTTATACAGTGGATCATCCTAGTCCACACAGCATCTTCAATTATTTTCTCAGTTCTAAAGGTGAAAGTAACTACACTCAAACTGTAGTTTGTGATTATATATCTGAATTCCCCAAATTACAATATAAAATCATTGATTTAAATAAGCTTTTGCACTGGTATGTTTAGTTATTTTCCTAAAGAAAGGTTCCTTCTCCCTGGTTAGGGACCATTAAAACATGTTTATTTGCTATTAAATATAGCCTTTACACTACAGTTAGTGCTTCTGTTTGCTAATCAAGAGAGCACACTATATGTATATATATTGTCTAAGCAATTATACATCTTAACATACATTTATTCTGATTTTTAATTTTTACTGTGATGAAAAATGGTGAATGATGCATTTCTTATTTACTAGATTAATTTTTAACCTTGTTTTGTGTCAAGGTCTATTTGGATAGAAATTCAAATTCAATTAAAAATGCACAAAAACAGCATTTTAATTGTGATTAACTAGTTATATATATAAAGCTACCTTAAATGTGCTGCTTACATAAGAAAAAAGTTTCAGAAAGTATATCACAGCATGATGTGCTTTTAAAACTAAATGATTTATTTAAAAAGGAAATCTTGTTCCTAGTTAGTGAACTGATTGTTTCTGGTCACCCTGTCCAAAATTTTAGCACTAGATCTCATCCTTTCACACCTAATATCTATTCAGAGATTGGAAGTTGAAAACAAGCTTTCCTTCTTTTTTCAACTCCCAACTCATTTCTTAGCTTTGAATGAACTAGTCATTGAACTGAACTAATTGAATAAATGAAGAAAATATTCTGCAGAAGAAGCTACAGCTGTCAAACACTGGTTTAGCACTGGAAAAACTCTGGTTCCAGATGCTTAGGCAATGAGTTCAGTGGTCTTTCTTTAAAACATGGAAGCAAACATATACTGCTTAATATTATTTTTGGTATTCAATTTAAATACCAAATTATAAGAAGTTTAAGCCTTAACGTAAGTTGTCAACTTTAAATTTAATTTTAAATAGGTGGCTTTTTAAAATCTGTATAAATTTAATTTAAAAAAATCCAATTTAAATACAAATCTGATTTTTTAAATAATCAATGTTTTATCCATCCTCATGTGCAATAGGTTCAACATCCACAAAACATTTACATTGTTCAAAGGAAAAAGGAAAGCAAGTTTAGCAATAAAAACCTCATAGTTACCAGTACAGTAAGTCCTAGTAGGAAGGTTGAAATAAATGCTCTAACAAACTGATCCCACACTGGTGCATTAGCATTCAAAGCTAAGGGTGGGTAGGATGTATGCACACTGCACACAGTGTATATCAGTTAATTGTGCTGAAATTGTATTAACGCAAAAATGCGAACAGAAAATCAGACATCAGATGGACATAAGGCAACAGTAAACTGACATTATAAAGGTTCTACAATATTCACAGCTCATGCCAACATGAAGTTAAATTGTGTATCCCTTTCATTACTGTAAATCAAAATACTTAAAATATGAACATCTGTTAATGTGATTATTGTAATAATTTACATGTTGATATACCATTGTAATTCTCTTATAAATTAGATTTCTGATCTCTAAATATTGTACTTTGAAAAGTGAAAAATCACATTCCCCAACACTAAATCAAAAATATTTGTATTACTTGGAACAGCACTGGTTATTCCAAACAAGTTCAGATGCAGAACAGTTACAGATAATGCAGTAATTTCTAGTAGTCTGAAGTCTAAATTGCATCAAAAATAGAGGACATAAAACTATTGCTTCATATTATACTCAGTTCTCTTCTTCCTTTCAATGTTTCTGCTTCAAATTGATTAAAACTGTATCTTATCTGTTATATACTTTATCCCCCTAAGTGATTACATACATATCATGTCAGACTACATGATCATAATGGTCCCTTCTGGCCTGGAGTCTATGAATCATTCATTTGTTACCATTACTATATTTCTTACACAAAAAAATATTTCACATGAATTTTAGCATTACTGACAAATAATACATTGCGAACTTTGAATATCAAAGCTCTCATTTTTTCCACACATAGAATAAAAATGTAGGCAGTAAACAGGCAAGCTTCCTCCCACAGCTAGCACACAAGCAAAATCTGGAGGGACCATTTATAGGTTAATTAAATCTCTACGCCTTTAATTCTTGACCTCTGCTGAGACTGACATTAACAGTACCACTTATGATTTTTCTGTAATGTGGACATTTGAAGATGAAGAATGTGACTGAAGCTCCCAACTCATTTCTCATCCACTCATTTCTAAGCCAAGTATTTGCCTGATAGTACAGAAAAGACATTTAAACAGGACATGATAGCAATGAATATTTATTTATTTTCATA